ATTTTGGCCACTGTTCTTCCTCAGTCATTTATGGTTTTGTAGCATTGTGTGAGGCTGGGTATCTATGGATTCTGGGAGCATTTCTTCTTCCCTCTTTGATGGAAATTGCTGCTCTTTTGTTCTCTGTCCAACAACCAGCAGGCCACCTTCCTGCCATCTGTGTGAGCGCCCCCCCCCCCACAGTGACACGAGGTGATGTCACTGGGTCTGTTGGTTGGTGACTTCAGCTCACTGCTGGACCTTCAGCACATCGCAAAACATAGCCCAGATGAATGATAGAATTTCATAGCATTAGAACATGTAGAGACTGTACCTTCATTTTTATGGACAAAGACACAAGTATAGAGAATTTGAATGATGTGCCTAAAATCCTATATGAATGGTAGGGCTGGAGTTGCTAATTCCTCATCCAGGCTTCTCCAGGGAATTGGCTATTCCAAGTCTGTAGTCAGTTCCCCTAGAGCCCTTATAATTAGTCAGGGAACATCATTGCCTTAGAGTCCTCTATTTGGCCTCCAGATAAAATATCATCAATGCCAAACTATGTCCATTTCCCAAATGTGCAGCTTTTAATTTTTTTTAGATGGCATACTCTAGCTGTAAAACCATTAGCTTTATTAATAGTTTTAAAGGAGTACCTGAGATAAACTTTAAGATTGGACTCCTAAATAGTCCAGAGTATGATGTAATATTTTACAGTACTTTCTTATAAATTTGAACTGAATTCATGGTGCAGATATTGTACTCAAGAAACAGAAGTTTTGATTCCAATCCAATTACAACCTAAATCTTATTAAACTCTATATAAAGCAGTTGGGGGAAGTATAATGAAGAATCCAGAAATGTATCCAAAATTATTAAATTCCATTTCCGTTGTCAAAGATTGTATTAAAATCAATCATAAAGTACAAAATATGTATGTTACTAATTGTAACCTGTCTATGTGTTCTTTAGCTCAAATCTTGCTGATACTTTAACGTGCATGGTTTGCCTTTTCAAAGTACCGTTCAGCTACTGCTCGTTTTTCCTTATTGACTCTTTTTTCTAAGACGTAGAGAGACAGGGAAAACATCTCCCACCCACTCTTATTTATGAGGAGATTGACCTTGAGTAGTTAAACATCTTGGGCATGGCCACATAGCTCATTGTGTAGAGCAAATATTAACAGCCAGACTTCCCAACTTACAAACCATTATTTTTTTTTTTTCCTTCAACCTGGCAGAACAGAATGAAATTGGTGCTGTATGTCTGGGCCTAAAGAACTGTTTGTTCAGTAAATCATGATTAAGTGTATGATTATTTTATACGCTGCAAACCATTTTAGCCTGGGAACTTGCACACCACCAAGACCCTGCCCTTAAAGGGACTGGCTGTTGGTGGGGAAGTGAGTGCATCACCAGGGGTCAGGGCCTGGGAGAGAAGTGTGATGGGGAGGTGAGACCAGGGTGGGTGGGAGCCAGGGCACCTTGGGGGTGGAGGTGGGGAGTCAGGAGGGGCCTTAGGGAAAGCTGGGGGTGTGTGCGTGCCTGCACCAACGTCATGATGGCAAGATGTGGTTTCCTCCAAAGCGTGCTCTCAGAATTTACAGCTGGCCCCCCTTTTACAAAATTTTCATTTATTTGGCTGCACTGGGTCTTAGTTGTGGCATGTGAGATCTCGTTCCCCAACCAGGGATTGAATCCAGGCCCTGGGAGTGGAGAGCCCAAGCCACTGGACCACCAGGGAAGTCCCTACAGCTGGCCCTTTGATGCCTGTTTCTGGAAGCGGTGCCCACTCTGTCTTGGTGAAGTTAAGCCTGTCTAAAGGGGTAGTAGGGTGTTTTCCTGATGGCTCAGCAGGTAAAGAATCTACCTGCAATACAGGAGATGCAGCAGATGTGGGTTCGATTCCTGGGTTGGGAAGATACCCCGGCAACAGGACACTGGCAACCCACTCTAGTATTCTTGCCCGAAGAATGCCCATGGACAGAGGAGCCTGGAGGGCTACAGTCCATGGGGTTGCAAAGAGTCAGACACGACTGAGCGACTCAGCACACAGCACTCAGTGGGTAGTGCGGGTGGGGCGTAGCAAGGAGCTTCTTCCGGGATTCCTTCTCCCACAGCTCATACCCCCCGTGACTCATCTCTTTTTTTTTTTCAACAGTAAAACCAGACTGATAACTTTCATCTGATCTCCCTCCGTGCTTCCCTAGACATGGTAGAAACCTGTGTGTAAAGAACAGAGCCCTTTAGCGCCCCAGGGCCCCCGCGAGCCCTGCTTCCCCATCAGAGCTTCTCAGCCAACGCAGATCTTAGCTTCAGTGCCGTCCCCTGTCCCAGGCCGAGCCCTGCAGTGGATCCACCGACCCCAGGGCCAGGGCACCCCACCCGTTCCCCACCTCCCCTACTGGGCTCTGTCATCAACCGCCACGGAGGTCAGTTGGAGGCGAGGCTGTGCCGAACTTAAAACTCCGGGCTCTTGGATCCCTCTGCTGGCTGATAGCGGAAGCACTGCTTAGCTTTTCCTCTCTGTTTTCTTGTTTTTAAATGAATTAAGGCATTCAAATGATACCTTTTTGTTTTTTCCTGCTTCTCCTCTTCCTGTCTTTCTGACTGACTCTGTAATGCTTAGTTAGTTTCTCTTGGTGTCTTTAATTCCTCTATGGGCACAGTTCACAGCCGGATCCTGGTGGGGGATCCATGGTGGGTGCTGGCTAAACAGATGTCTCAGGATCCAGTACAGAGCGGGCGTTGGGCCCTCTGCTCATCAATGCCCCCTGCCTCTCGCCCCAACCACCACCCATGTCATAATAATGGCAACATTTTGCCAGTTGAGGATTTGGGACCAAGCCCAGTGTTGAATGCTTTACAGGCATTACATCATAAAGTCCTGTGTCATTAGCCCAGATGACAAAGCCCAGGCTGGCGTTGCAGGCATGTTGACAGGACTGCAGGTTGGAGCTCAGATCTCTGGAGCCAGCGTCGTCCTTCCAGCCACACAAGTGCCACCTCCTTGGGAGCCTGGGTTCGACCTTGCTCTCTGCCTGGACATCTTCTACCCCCACACCCCAACCCAAACCCACTTCCCCATTGTCTCTTGGAAATTCTAACTTTTCCTTAAAAGTTACTTCAGGGGTCGCTTGGAAAAGCCCACTTACCCACCCCTTCCACCTTCTGTTTTTGTTGTTTACAGAGACCTTGTGGTCTGTGGGCAACAAATATATCTCTTATTCAAATTGTTTGGATGTGTGTTCTCTGTTCTATTCAGGTATAACTTATAGGTGGCCCCTGTTTTGTCCTTAAATAAATATATGTTATCAATTGTTAAAACACAAGAAACAGTGAACCGCCCTCGCCTCTCATGGAGCACTCATCCCAGGTTTCTGTCATGATTTACCTGTGTGTGTGTCTGTCCTGTAAATCTGACCTCCTCCAAGGCAGGGAGCAGATCTAATCAGTCTCCATACCCCAGCATAGAGCCCAGCTCCCAGTCATAGCATAGCAGCAGGATTTGACACTCGAGCACCCAACCGGGCCAGGCAGAGTGCTCCTCACTTTATCTAAAGTCTCTAATTTAACCATCAAAACATCCCACCCAATATGGACAATGATCATCCCATTTTACAGATGGAGAGACTGAAGCTTAGCGAGGTCTGTGACTGGCCCAAGGTCACCCAGGGAGCAGCCACCCAAACGCTTGACTCCAGGTCTCCCTAGACTTTGTTTTTTTACATTTTATTAGTTTTCATGCCCTACATTTTTGACCCAGTGAGGTATTTTTTGCCCTTTTAATATTGATTAAGAAGTGTGTGTAGGAAAATTACATTTGCTTGGCTAAAATCTGCAGTGCCCTGAGAAACACTGGCTGTATCCTTTGCTAAAGGACTCTGAAGAAAAGGAGGCCATTTGAATCAATCAGGTTTTAAACTTTACTGAAGAAAAGAGTTTGAGGAATATGAAGGTATCTATAGATAGATTGAAAATCCATTGCTTTATTCAGTAACTTCATCTGAAATTTTGCAGCTCTTTTATGAAATAATCACCATGCTCATCTGGTTCATGTATCACCTAAAAATTCCAAGTGCAAGTTAAATATTTTTGAAGGCTCAAACTTATCACATACAGATTTGGGTACTCAGGAAAGGTGAGTCCAAAACTACTTGCTTTCCAGAGCATAATTTAAACACACACACACAATTTTTGCAATTAGATTTCATGTTAAATTTAGGCCATGTGTTAATTTTGTTCAACTGTAAAAATTTCCCAGAATATTTCTTGGTCTTTACCACCCTATGGATGACCTTGAGTTTCAAGTTACTATTGCTTATCTCAGATTTTCAAGTTCTCAGTGAAATTAGTGGATGATTTAAGATTAGTGCTCAAAAAATGTAGATACTCATTCATTGTATCAACATTGATCATTTTTGTATTTCAATAAAAATACTTTGTACTTTTAGAGCCTGTCTGATTACATTTTAATATTGTCTTGTTTAAGGGTATGTGCTCAGTTATGTTCAACTCTTTGTGACCCCAGAGACTGTAGTCCACCAGGCTCCTCTGTCCATGGGATTTTCCAGGCAAGAATACTGGAGTGGGTTGCTATTTCCTTCTCCAGGGGATCTTTCCAGCCCAGGGATCGAACCTACATCTCTTGAGTCTCCTGCATTGGCAGGCAGGTTCTTTACCACTGAGCCATCTAGCAAATATCATCTAGAAAGCTTTAAAGGTACCCTTAGTTACTTGGTAGATGTCATAAAAATAAGGTTGCTAACATTCCCTTTTACAAGATGCGACTTGGCCTCACACTGTAGAGGGTAGAAGCGATGTCGAAGTCAGAATGCCAGGACAGTAAGGGACCTTGGTCCAACTCTATTATTTATTATTCTACATATGAAAAAGAATGAGGCTCAAAGAAGCTGTCTACAGTCCCCGCCTGCCCAGCTACACGAGAAAACCTGCCCCTCTCTCACGGCATCTTTGCCCATCTTTACTGTTTCCTGTAGGTAGCATCCCGGGGCAGCCATGACCACCGCCATCCTGGAGCGTCTGAGCACCCTGTCCGTGAGCGGGCAGCATCTGCGACGCCTGCCCAAGATCCTGGAGGATGGGCTGCCCAAGATGCCCGGCACCGTGCCCGAGACCGACGTGCCCCAGCTCTTCCGGGAGCCTTACATCCGCGCCGGGTACCGCCCCACCGGCCACGAGTGGCGCTACTACTTCTTCAGCCTCTTTCAGAAACACAACGAGGTGGTCAACGTCTGGACCCACCTGCTGGCGGCGCTGGCCGTCCTCCTGCGGTTCTGGGCCTTCGTGGAGGCCGAGGGCCTGCCGTGGACCTCTGCCTACGCGCTGCCCCTGCTCGTCTACGTCCTGTCCTCCATCACATACCTCACCTTCAGCCTCCTGGCCCACCTGCTGCAGTCCAAGTCGGAGCTCTCTCACTACACCTTCTACTTCGTGGACTACGTGGGCGTGAGCGTTTATCAGTACGGCAGCGCCCTGGTCCACTTCTTCTACACCTCCGACCAGGCCTGGTACGAGCACTTCTGGCTCCTCTTCCTGCCGGCCGCCGCCTTCTGTGGCTGGCTATCGTGCGCCGGCTGCTGCTACGCTAAGTACCGGTACCGCAGGCCCTACCCGGTCATGAGGAAGATCTGCCAGGTGGTGCCCTCCGGGCTGGCCTACATCCTGGACATCAGCCCCGTGGTCCACCGCGTGGTTCTCTGCCACCTGTCTGGCTGCCAGGACCCAGCGGCCTGGTACCATACCCTCCAGATCATCTTTTTCCTGGTCAGTGCCTACTTCTTCTCCTGCCCGGTCCCAGAGAAGTACTTCCCTGGTTCCTGTGACATCGTGGGCCACGGGCACCAGATCTTCCACACCTTTCTGTCTGTCTGCACGCTCTCCCAGCTGGAGGCCATCCTCCTGGACTATAAGGGGCGACAGGACATCTACCTGCCACGCCACAGCCCCCTGTCCATCTACCTGGCCTGCCTCTCCTTCTTCTTCGTGGTGGCCTGCAGTGCGGGCACTGCAGCCTTCTTGAGACAAAAAATCAAGGCCAGACTGACCAAGAAAGATTCCTGAGACTGCCGGGGGGGGCGCGGTGTGGAGGCGGCCTGTCGTGATTTGGGGAGAACTTGAACCCACCGTAGGAGGTGACTTTGTGTTTTTAAGAGCGGGCTTTTAAACGAGTACTATATTTCCAAGGGTGGCTATGGCTATGGCGTTGGGAAGCCAAAGGTTCCAAGAGTTTTGTTATCACTGTCGTGAATGAAAGGTTTATCTTTCATCCTCTGGGCTGTAGCCTTACGAGATACAGGAAGGGAAGGGACCTTGGCTAAGGTTCATCGGACACTGAATTAAGATCTTCATGCCTGAAAATTGAGTAGTGTTCTGACTGTGGCCTCCGGGGGCCAGCCCTGGACTAAAGGGAAAATCTACTGGGACTGAAAAAATTACAAGGTGGCTGGACCACACTGTATTGAAATGGGCATTCTTTTGCGATGCTGGTCTTTGGTGATTGGATACTGGATTCGTCTGACTTCTGGTCCCTTCTCTAGCCCGCTTTTCTCAGGATGACGTCTGCCTGGCTGTTTTCTCCAGAGTGCTGTTCACTCCCAGCTGTACCTTGCATGGGCATAGCTAGGATGATGAAGGAGTCATGCTTCCCGGAAATGCTTGGATCCAGGCAGGCATTCAGGATATTTACTCTCATACAATACTAATGGAAATGGTACTAGAAAATACAGTGCCAAGAGCCATCAGGAGGCCCAGCCAGCAAGCATGGCTACTGTTTGGTGTCATGGGACCCTTCTGTTTTACCCCTGTGCACTGCAGGATTACTTGACATCTACTAGGGCTGCTTTACATGCCAGAAGATCTGGAGCTTTCTTCAGAGGATCTTCTCCAGATTTTGACCAGCATGTTCAAAAAGCCCCTGGTAGAGTGAATTGGTTCTAGGGATCTGATTGTTTCAAGAGGAACTCAAGGTCCAGCCTCTTAAATAGATGCTGCCCCATGAAGGACCCTTGTAACTCCTAGTTCACGGTCCTCGGGAAAGCATTGTACCTCAGCTTAGAGCAGCTTAAATCAAGCCCCAGGACAGGCATGTGTGTGTGTACTCATGCAAGGCTGGTCCCCGAAGGCTCCTTTGCGTGAGGCTGGTGAACTGGGCACCCTGTAGGCAGAATGTTCTGCTGGGACATCACTGCCCAGCAGCTTCTGTGGGATGGGGGTGGGGGTGGGTACTTACAGTTGATGTGTCCTGGCTTCACAGCCCCCTGAGGACTGCCTTCTGCAGTGATCCAGGGAAGGGGGCTGCACTGAAATCCTCCCCAAAGACTGTATTTCCTATCAGTATAAGGTCTCTGTTTACTAAAAAGGGAGGTGGCTTTTCACTCCAGTTTGATGAACCTCCTCTCTTCCTAGGTTACTGTCTTCACATCTTTTTTTTCCCCCTTTCTCTTGAGAGATGTGTAGGGTTTGTGCCTTATAAATGAAAATTTACGAACACTTCACTTAATACACGGCCACGTGGAATTTTCAGCTTGAAGCTATTGGGATAAGAAAAGAGAATTCATTGCCTTTCAACCGGTAGATGAAAGAAATTCAGAATACTGGAATTGCTTATCCATCAGAAGACTCTTTCAACCTGTGTTTTTTTGGGGAAAAAAGTTCAACTGAAGTTTTCCTATAATCTTTATATCAAGAAAGCATAGCAGGACTCCCATGGTGGTCCAGTGATTAGGACTCTACACTTCCACTGCAGAGGGTGTGGGTTCAATTCCTGGCTGGGGAACTAAGATCCCACGTGCTGTGGGCGGCCAAAAAAAAAAAAAAGAAAGCATATGTCTTGTCAGCTATGTTGTTTCCTCCTGGTGGATTCCTCCTGGGAATCCCCAAATATCTGAACTTCTGTGCTACCCACATGTCTTACACGAGCTTCTGGCATCCAGGCCAAATTCACCACTAATAAAGTTAGTGACCCTGAACGGATTGAACTGATAAACAAAGGAATAGAAAGTTGCATCAACACAGTGCAGGTAGAGGGTCAGTTTAAAATGGAGACAAGAAAGCATCTGAAATGTTCATAATTATGGATTTGGAGACTCTCTTCTTGTAAAAGTTGAAAGAAAAGTGTAAGTCAAGCTCTTGAATGTAACCATGGTGGCCATGGTGGGCAGAGATCTTTAGGCCAAATGCAAGTATTTTTAAAGAGAGACTAGAGGGGTGATTATGCCATCCACAGACCAATGCCAGTCTGCATACAAAACAGTCTGTGATAAGTACAGAGGGACACTAAATTTTTAGATATGAACATAAAATTCATAACATTTTGATTTTAATTTACCCAAGTATTGGTCCACCAAGTGATTGGAAATTTAAAAAGGAAAAAAATCTTTTTTCACCAGAGATATTTGAAAAGCATTGAGGTAGGAAACTGCTATCTCATTAGAAATTCAGTATCTCAGGAGAAATACAGACACGGGAAATGCAGGCATTTTTCACCATTCAGACTCTTAAGAGTTACACATTCCTTTTAAAACAATTACATTAAAATGATTGAATCAGTAAGGAAGCAACCTTGTTTGTTTAAAAGGAATAATTAAGTATTTGATAAAGGAGATGGTTCTTCTTACTCTACCAAAGCCATCAGTTGACATCTACTGGAAATTCTGTTATTATTTCTCTCTGTCTCTTTTTTCTTTTTTTTACTAAGACTTTCAATCTATTAAAACGTTAATGCCTCTAAAAAAATTTAACTATCATTCAGTTATATCTTGGGAATAAAGTGGATATTGTGTGTACCCCTCTACTCAAGGTAAGGAGAGGGGATAGCAAGATGCAACAAACTGGGGAACTATTTGCCTGATTCCCTCTTGCAAACACTTCCTGACCTGCATTTACTAAGAAGCTAATGTTACTGCTCTTCAGATGTTATGGTTTCATCTCCCACCTCGGCTGAAGGTACCTCACTCAGTAACTCTACTCTCAATCCTCCGATGGAAGCTTGAAATAGTAGGAGCTGAAACCATGGAATGGAGACAGTTCTTTCCTGCCTCTGTTGTCCATCAGTTCCCCAATTATACCGGGTTGCTTGGAAGCATTAAATTCTTCCGTTGCCATGCTGTAGTTTCAAGTGAGTCCTCCAGATGGCGCTCAAGTCTTACTCAAAGGAGGTACGGCCATTGTCCCCAAAGCCTTGGCCTAATTGTGTTGGTCCTAGTGTTTCGCTTGATAACTTGGCAAAGGAAACATAGAACTATTTTCTGTTTATATAAATCGACTTACACAAATGACCATTAAACATTTTGTAAATGGGTTATTGTACTCTCAACAGCTACCTTGTGTCTTTGGCAAGACCCGTCTTAAAGAAAAGTTTTATCTAGACAAACTGTCAAGAGACCAGGACACTTCATAGCCACCTAGAAATAGGAAAATATAAAAGCTTAAAAAAAGAAATCTCCCTACCCAAACTCCCAAAATACCTGCCTCTCCCCAAATCCCCACTTGGTAGTAGATCAAATTACACCTCCCTCCCCTCAAAAGCTATGGAGTTGATTTTTCTGAGGATTTCAATCTAATTGAATAAATATTTCTGATCTCATGGACAATGGTGTTAAATATTCCAAACTTTTGAATTGATGGATTACATTTCTTGAAACCTAAAAATTATGAATTATACTAATGTATACTGTATGTGCTCGAGTCAGTCGTGTCAGATCCTTTGTAGCCCCTTGGACTGTAGCCCACCAGGCTCCTCTGCCCATAGAATTTTCCAGGCAAGAATACTGGAGTGGGCCATTTCCTACTCCAGAGGATCTTCCCAACCCAGGGATAAAACCCGCGTCCCTTATGTCTCCTGCATTGGCAGGCACATTTTTACCACTAGTACCAGCTGGGGAGCGTTATATCATAATAGGTAACTGTGGTTTGAAATGTGTCACCCAACAGCCAAAGGATTCTGTGGCCTAACTATTAGATTTAAATAGCTGTGGAAAAGGTGATTCTGTTATCACAATAACAGGAAGAAAATAGCATTCTCTGACTAGAGGCTCTGTTACCAACCAGAGTTCTTTGCCTCCTTAATCAATAGAAATTGATCAGAGGCCAGATAAGAAATTCAGGCAAGTCTTTGCCTCATAAAAGAGGTATGCGCACTCAGTAGGAATCCCCACCCCCTCCCAAAGTCATTGGTTATTTCTCATTTTAAAGTAATACATGCTTTTTAAAGAAAATGCCAGGGATTTCCCTGGTGGGCCAGTGGTTAAGAATCTGCCTTCCAATGCAGGGGACACAGGTTTGATCCCACAAGCAGCGGAGCAACTAATCCTTTGCACCACAAGGAAGACCCAGCACAGCCAAAAAAAAAAGATAATTAAAAAAAAATTTTTTAATGAAATGCCAGAAAATAGAGAAAAAAGATACTTCATTGACCCGTCATTAAAATGAATCCTTTCAGAGTAAGGATAAGTTTTGTCAAAATGTTGCCAATAAGTTAATGAGCAGTGTAATATAGAGCTTCCTGAAAAGCCAGAAATTAGGAACTCCTGGGCAACCTAATACTTTGATTCTGTAGAGTACAAAAAAATCAACAGCCTGGCTCAGCTCTCAGTCATATGACACTCCCTTCTGACATTTGTGATGGCACTGTGGCTGGGACACTGGCTCATGACACAAAGCCAAGGGTGTATTATCTCTCGTTGAAAGAACTCTGAAATGTCAGTCAAGCCCTCGGAGAGTCCTTTGCTAGAGAGGCTTTGGCCGGAGGCAGAGCCAGCCGATGGAACGTCCTGGATTCAGTGGCAGTCACTCCACGAACACTGAGCCCGCAGATGCCAGGCCCTGTTCTAGGCACCAGGATGCAGCCATGGGCAAGACAAATCCCAGCCCTGATGGAGACTTACACTCAGCGAAAGGGAGTGTTAGTCACTCAGTCGTGTCCGACTCTTTGTGACCCTGTGGACTGTAACCCGCCAGGCTCCTCTGTCCATGGAATTCTGCCTGCAAGAATACTGGAATGGGTAGCCATTCCCTTCTCTAGGGAATCTTCCCCACCCAGGGGTGGAACCCGGGTCTCCTGC